ATAGGATGAATACACGCAGTAGATTATAAGCTTTGTAATGATACCTTACAAGAGACCTTTTGCATAAAACATATTCCAGTTACATTATATTTACACTCATACGCATATTTCCATAAAACACATGGAGTGCAACGTCACAGGGTGATCCACTTAATACAGTGTACTTGGACTTTGAGAGAGCCTTTGACTAGGTTCCACACCAAAGGCTCTTAAGCAAAGTAAGCACTCATGGGATAAGAGGGAAGGTCCTCTCATGGATCAGTAACTGATTAAAAGATAGGAAACAAAGAGTAGGAATAAATGGTCAGTTTTCACAATAGAATGTGGTTAATAGCAGACCCCTAAGGCTCTGTACTGGGTCCTGTGCTGTTCAACATATTCATAAATGACCTGGAAAAGGGGGTGAACAGTGAGGTGACAAAGTTTGCAGATGATACAAAATTACTCAACATAGTTAAGTCCAAAGCTCACTGTGAAGCTACAAAGGGATTTCAGAAAATTGTGTGACTAGGCAACAAAACGGCATATGAAATTCAATGTTAAGTGCAAAGTAATGCATATTGGGGGGGAAAATCCCAACTATACCTACAAAATTATGGGGCCTAATTAGCTGTTACCACTCAAGAAAGAGATTTTGGAGTCATTGAGGATAGTTTCTGAAAACATCTGCTCAATGTGGAGTAGTAGTTAAAAAAATCTAACAATGTTTGTGTAGCGGGGTGAACGTCCGCTCCAGCCCTGAAGGGGTTGGAAAAGCCCTGCAGAGGGCTGGGGTTGTGAAAAGGGGCAAAACCCCGGCTGATTGGGGAAGTGGCTGCAGCTGGGGCCATGCCCCAAACTGAGCCACTCAGCCTTATAAGAAGGCCAGGGTAGCCAGAGCAGAGGAGTCTCTCTCTGACAGGAGAGAGAGACAGCCCTGGCTGCAGGGAGCTCACCCGATGACCTAGAGTAAGGCAGGGCTGGGGAAAGGCCTAGGGGGCTGGGAAGCCCTAGGCCAGCAACTCCCCAGGCTGCAGGGCCTGGTCCTAGGCCCAAATAGGTATTGGGGTTGCACAGGGGCAGCCAGAGGGAGGGTAAAGGCAGCCAGTCCAAACCCCTTGTTGCCGATGATGATTGGCTGATAAACTGCAGTCTGCCCCAGGGTGTGGGGGGGGGGGGGGGGGGGGGGGGGGCGGGGGGGGGCCCCAAAAGGGGGGGATTGGGGGGGGGGGGGGGGTGCCCCGGGGGGGGGGAGACCCAGAGAGAGAGTGGGGTACTGCCAGAGGGGGCAGCACCTAAGCCAAGGGCACCGGGGTCTGGGAGGGACACGGGGGGCCAACGACAGGCGGATCACAGGCCTGCAGAGGGCGCTCTAGAGGCTGGTGAGCTAATTCCCGAGACGACCAGCAGGAGACGCTGCAGGGGTGAGTCCATGCCTGACTAGAGTTAGGAATCATTTTGAAAGAGAGCGATAATAAAACAGAAAATATCATAATTCCACTCTATAAATGTATGGTACATCTATACCTTGAATACTACATGCAGTTCTGCTTGCCGCATTTCATAAAAGATATTTAGAACTGGAAAAAGTACAGAGAAGGGCAACAAAAATAATTAGGGGTATGGAACAGCTTCCATATGAGGAAATACTAAAAAGACTAGAACTGGTCATCCTAGAAAAGAGACAACTATTAGGGGCGATATGATAGAGGTCACAAAAAATCATGAATGGTGTGGAGAAAGTAAAGAAGGAAGTGTTATTTACTCTTCACATAACACAAGAACCAGGGGTCACTCAATTAAATTAATAGGCAGCGGGGTTAAAAAAAATAATGAAGATCTTGTTCACACAAAGCACTCAACTGGTGGAATTCATTGCCAGGGGATGTTGTGAAGGCCAAAAGTATAACTGTGTTCAGAAAAGAATTAGATAAGTTCATGGAGGATGTATTCATCAATGGCTATTAGCCAAGATGGTCAGGAACACAGCCTCATGCTCTGGGCGTCCCTATACCTCCAACTGCCAGAAGCTGGGTCTGGACAACAGGGAATGGATCACTCGATAATTGCCCTATTTTGTTCGTTCCCTTTGAAGGATTTAAAATTTCATACAATGACTTGTTTATACTGCTGTATATATTATACACTGACATGTAAGTATAATATTTATTCCAATTGATTTATTTTATAATGATATGGTAAAAATGAGAAACTAAGCAATTTTTAAGTAATAGTGTGCTGTGACACTTTTGTATTTTTAAGTCTGATTTTGTAAGCAAGTAGTTTTTAAGTGAGGTGTAACTTCGGGATACAGAAGACAAATCAGACTCCTGAAAGGGGTACAGTAGTCTGGAAAGGTTGAGAGCCACTGGGCTATACGGACCATTGTTCTGACCCAGTATGGCCATTCTTATGTTCTTCTTATGAGCATTATCAGTGCTGTGTGAATACTCTTGCAGTGCAGAAGTGGAGACATGATCAATAAAGCTCCTATAATTATGTACCTCTTCATCAAGTCTCACTGCCTGGATTTAAGGTGCTTCCAGTAACACATCTCAGAAGAAATGATAAATTCTATAGCAAAGATGAAAAGAAAGAAACTTTTGAACATTACCTGTGCGGAAAAGTCTGTAAGTCTACAATATTTGGAAAAACAATGTCAGGGAGGAAAGACAGCTGCAAATGTAGCAGGTGCTAAGAGGGGACTAGTTCATTAATATACCTTGTACCATCATCAATTCTCATACAGTATACAGGGTTCCAGCTTTTTAATGGGCCTCCCTCAGCTGTATAAACATTTCTAAGTAATTTTAGTGCAATGAGTATATAAAAGAGCTACCCTAATTAAGTAAAAAGGCACAGTGAACAATGTGTTACTAGTATTGGCATAATGTGGGTACCTTGCACTATACTTACAACTTTTGCTTTAAAACACAACTTTCACATTTGCATCTATCAGATTTTGACACTTGTAAGCCCCTTGGGGCAGGGATGCTGTTTTGTTCTGTGTTTGTGCAGCACCTAGCACACAGAGGTCCTGGTCAATGACTAGGTTCCTAGGTACTATGGTAATACAAATAATAATGCAATTCAATGTTATTCTTTCAGCAGTATCTTGTACTGCTCACTATTAACACTTCTTAAAAATTGTACATTTAATCATGTTAGGACCTCCATCTCTCTCCCTTTACTGTTAAATATTGTCCATCCTCATATAGCACTCTTTATCTCTCCATAAATTAGTTATCCATAACTTGACATGGTGCATAACTGTAGCTGTGAGAATCAATACAACTTTCATTAGGATCCATGTTTTCATCCATTAACTAGCAGTCTGGACAGGTCACAGTAACTGAAATGGGAAACCTGGCTTCTGTTCCCAGTTCCAGTAATGTTCTCAATTATGTAAGCTTGGCCCAAGTCACTTATCTTTTCTGTGCCGCAGTTTCCCTATCACCAAACCAAATAGGGATGATACTTACTCACTACTGTAAAGCACTCTGAGATCTATTCAAAAAGCACTCTATGTAATTCCTAAACTAAAAATATCCTGTAAGCTAGCACAAAGATGTATTCAGAGAGAGATGTATTCAGGAGACCATGAGTTAAAGCCTTTGTTTTCAATGACTGTTGTTAATATTTCTGTGCACTTAACAGTCCTTTTATGCATATCATTGAGGCCAAAAGCTTAGCATGAGTCAAAAAAGGACTGGACATTTATATCTATAATAAGACTATCTAGAATTATAATAGTAAATATGAAAAAAAATGTGGAAGATACATAAACCCTGATGATTTATATCATATGCAAATCTTTAAGAACTGGGAGTGGAGGGAGAAATTTTCCCTATAACAGCCTACTGCAAGATTTCGTACACCTTGCCCCAGAGCAGCTAGTACTGGCCACTGCTGGAGACAGGATTGGACTAGATGGACCACTTTTCTGATCCAACAAGAAAGTTCTACCTTATTACATGGCATTATAGCACAACAGAAGGACAAATTTCCATCTGTCTTTCTGTGAGACTGTTTAACCTCATTTTCATTTACTAAATTAAATAGATATCCACATGTATAACCAGAGTAATTTCATCGTGATGAAGGTCTTTGAATTCAAATCTTGTACTAATGATGTGAGGAGCAAGTGTAAAAAAAAAGTTTCTAAGGTAAATATATTTCTGAGTGAAATTTTATATTTGATTCATTTTTAACTGAACAACTAAGTTGTTTATAAAGTCAAACTGACAGATTCAAAATGATGTTACCATGTAAGGGGTGCAGCAGCTATAAATTCAGCACTTCGTTTCATTTGAATTCAATGCATCAAAAAAGCTCTGTTTATGAAGTTAAAGGAACACTGTCAAGATAAACATGACATTATTAGAAAACAGAAGCTGCGTTCCTATGCACCCTAACTTGCAAGGTGCTGAACTCACTTAACACTCATTGAGTTCAATGGCAATATAGCCCACATTAACAGCACAGGTTATTAAAACTGAATTTTGAAAATATAATTTACTTTTCACTATTTATGCTATATACCTTTGTATATCAATTATCATGGAAAATTAAAATAGATGTCAGTGACAGACAGGATCTGGAATATTTGAACTGCAAACAGAGTAGGGGAATTTTTATTTATTTTAAATCTTTCTATTAAAATGTAAAACAAAATCAGGATTACCAATACATATAAAGAAAAGACAAAACCATCATGCTTTCAAATCAAATAAATTTCTGTTCACTGTTAAATCCTTTGAGGAAAAGGCAATTCACCTGAGTCTACTTCTTTGATGTTGCAAAAGAGATAGCACTGATGTAAATAAAGCCCTCAGTTTTGACAGATTCCCCCTCACTTAGAATAGCTGAAATAGGTTTATTTTTCTATCTAACTGAGCCACATCTTTACCAAACCATTCGCAAGAACAATTCCATTTAGATTCTACTTTTACATTCTTGACCTTAAAAAAAAAAAAAAAAAAGAGCAATTAATAGGTTTTTTTTAACAGTGGTATGTACTTTTGAATATTTAATATAAAATTTTAGAGCATTTCCAACTTTAATACCTTTCTTTTTAAAATAAGACATTCCTAATTAAAGTGCTGAATTTGGTATTTCAAAGTTCTGCATAACCGGAAGTAATGCAAACAATATCTTAAAGGGGAGAATGAGATGAATGGGGTTGTTGATCAAACAGGAGTTGCAATATTAAGGACTAAATCCTGCCAAGTGCAGAGCATCCTAACCTCCCAGTGAAGTGAATGAAATCAAAGAAAGCACTTAGCATTTGGAAGATCAGACTCTAAAGGAGCAATACTCATTCTTTTGTAGTCTGAAGTATAAATAGGTAAGGACTGTAAGACTTAAAAAAGAAAAAAATAAGCAAGTCTCCAATGTGACTGAATAAAAAGGGATGTGTAAAAAGTGTTACAGTACAACAAAACATAATGAAGTACCACAAATCACTTTTCAGGGCATTTACCAATTTGCATTTATAGTATTTACACACACATACACACTGTAACCTAAACATTAGCAAAGCACAGTGTTGCATTACTACCACCAAAGCCAAATGAATTAGTGAGAGCAATGCGTCGTTTTTCACTTTTCCAGTCTTGGGCTGTTAGCGGAACATAATTGAGATCAAAGTCTGGATCGGTTCTATCCAGGTTGAGAGTAGGTGGTAAAATTCCATGGTAACAGGATAGTGCAGTAAAAGCTGCCTCTATAGCCCCTGCAGCCCCCAGGAGATGTCCTGTTGCTCCCTTTGTTGAGGAAACTGCAAGAGTGTATGCATGCTCTTTAAAAAGTCTCTTGATGGCTTGATTCTCAGCAGCATCTCCTAGTGGCGTAGAAGTGGCATGTGCATTGACATATGTTATATCCTCAGGACATATTCCAGAATCTTTTATTGCTGCAGACATACATCTAAGGAAAAAGAAAAATAGAGAGCTTGATTTCCCGCTGTCTTTTGTAGTCACCGCCATCTGTTCAGAGTGGAAATGGCTGTTAAATGCTAAAATCAGAATGGTTACATTTCACAGGCATTTTGCTCCAATATAAATGACTACACAAGATGCAAGGCAGAGCAGAATGAGACTCATTTACTTTATCAGCAACAGAAGAATAATATACACACTTAGATCTTGGTCATCTTAAATATTTTATTCTTCTATAGAATATATTGACTGGAATTAAAGTCTACAGTGGAAAAACTGTTATACCACAGGTTGAAAAAGGGGATATAATGAATAAAGCCACAGGTCACAGATATAATTGTCCATTAGAGGTCTGTTTTTAATCCAAAGGTCAATCATTCTCCTTCTAAAATAAGTTTTATTATCTTAAATTATTTTTCCCAACTATTTTACAACTTCAATTACCCTCTGCTGAAGTTTCTCTAGTTTAGCCACCAGGTCAAAAGCAGAGTTTCCTCAGTGATTACAGTAACCATCTTGATCATAGTAAATTAAACAAAAAGTTTCCTAATTTTTACATTTTTTGTCCCTCATGTTTATATTATTCCCTTTTGCTCACAACATCCCTAGACGCATCCTCACCACTGTTCAGAACTTTACTGCAAATTGCTTTCTCCCCTAGAAAAAATCCAGAGGGGCAGGAAAATCTCACAGAAACTATATGCCCTTGACATTATATAAATTGGGAAGCAAATAATTGATATACAGTAATAAGTGTAGTGTATACATTTCAGATTTCTTTGCTAACGTAAAATATATAACAATTCATAATTTAAAATGTTTAATATAAAATTTTCTATTTCCTGTTGTGAATTTAATTCATATTCTGCCACAATTATAAGATGCATATAGGAAAACTGTGTTACAAATGTGTGATCATATCAGCTCAGTGGTGAAAAAAATCTATAATTTGAGAGAAAGTTCATGGTTAATCTCAGTATCTCATCATAAATGTCTTAAATTCTAAATAAATGTCTAAAGCAATTAAGTATGAATCAAGTACTATAAAGAGAAAACTGGTAAATTAGTCTTCTTCTTTAAAATCTGTTAACCGAGCAAAGATATGGTATTAAACACAGACATCAGAACAACATAAAATATGGAGAACCACCTGTTTGGTCATTTAGTCCATTTCCTTGCCAGGGAAGTTCTTCCTTACAAAGGAAAAAATCCTGGGAGGCATGGTATATTAAGAACAGAAGAACTGAACTGACTATGAACTATTACTACAATAATAATTCTAATGGGGTCAGTACAATGCACTGGTTCACATAGGCACACTCAGCAAACCCAGATTATTGACAAATAGGTTTAGCTTTGATTAGGTGCCACTGTCATCCATGCTTTCACTTTTTATTTAGTCTGTATTCTTGGATTGTTTTACCATATTCGCTTTTTCTTTGACCATTCATATGGTAACAATAATATGATATACGCACAAAGGGCATCACAGCTGCTATGAAAACCATTACTTTGAACTGATATGTAACATTTTTAGCATAATATTACCATAAACTCTGAAGGCTAGTAAAGCTACTACTGTACCTGTGATCTTTAGCAATGACCTATAGTCAGCCTACACAAGGCTCTCAAGCAGTAAATAAATATATACAGGTAAGTTGTTTCATTGATAATTTAATTATAGGGTATTTACACTATGTACACAATATAAACATAAAATGTCAAAACAGTGAAACAGTAAAAAGATATAAACTGTGTGTAAACTAGCTTCATAAAAAGAACAGGAGTACTTGTGGCACCTTAGAGACTAACAAATTTATTAGAGCATAAGCTTCATAAAGAAGATTTTCTGTTTCAGTAATGGATAGAGCAACATACCTTCTTTTCCACAGATATCCCATGTAAAAGCAGGCTTACTGTAAGACTGGCAAAAGATTGCTGAAAAATGGCACTATACTATAAAAAATAAGACATTTAGTCAGCCTACAGCATGAAAATATCTTAATTCTAGTCAAATAGAGATCTGAGGACATACCAAAGTGAAAATCCAAAGTGCATTTCTGCTGTCTACATCCACCAACTCTAACCTTTTCCACCAATATCACACTGAAGGCACTGAGTCTGGATTAAGACCCCAACAAAGCAAGATACTTAAAACATGTCTCTATTTTAACCATGTGCTTAGCATAGACACATCTACGGAACTTGTTCAAACCAAGTCCTAAATCTTTTTGAGAGCATTTTAACTATTCACACTGATAATATCTAAGGTAATTATTCTGGGAATTGACATTCTCCAACTACTACACAATTGCTAATGTACTATTTGGAAGTTCAATGTGGGCTAATTAAATAGCATTCCTAAAGAACACAGGTAGCAGCATTACCTGCTTTCATAGCTGAATATCTCTCCTCTTAAATACAGAGGTTCAAAAGGTTTTATTGTATTCAGAGAGCCTTTAACATCTGGCTGTAGTTGGGAGTCATTTATGGTGAAAGCTGTGTATTTCAAAAGTAAAAGTGAAATATTTTCCACATTCAATAAAGCTTCCATAATATTACATAAGGCTGAATCTAGTGAGACTACCTTCCCACAAGAAAAATAAGATAAAACCTTACAAAAATCTTCCACTGTTCAGATTAAGTTTTCAGGCTTTTTGAAAATCTGCTTACCGTTGTATTTTAAACACTCCCACATCAGTTAAAAGATATGTGGATGGTATTCATGCTGAGGTGCACAATATTTCTCTAGACAATTTACAGAGAATATTGACCAACAGAAAATAATAGCTTAATAGTTTATCTGTCAAATTAATCTACAAATTCTTACCTAAAAGCACCATCTCCATCTGGATTAGGTGCTGTTATGTGGCAAGCATCACCAGAGAGTCCATAACCTAAAATTTCTGCATAGATCCTGGCTTCTCTTTGCATAGCATGTTCATATTCTTCCAACACCAACACAGCTGCACCCTCTCCCATTACAAATCCTTCTCTTTGTGAGTGGAATGGTCGACATGCCAGTTTAGGGCTTGAGTTAAAGTTAGTGCTGAGAGCCCGAGCTCTTGCAAATGCAGCTATAGACAAGGGGCTAATAGAAGCTTCTGTTCCTCCAGCCAACATCACATCAGCATCACCATAGCCTATAAATCTAAAGGAATCTCCAACAGCATGTGCTCCTGTGGTACAAGCGGTTGATACAGCATGATTGGGCCCCTTCAGTTGGTATCTAATGCTGATCTGACCTGCTGCCATATTGATTAAGATCTTAGGGATAAAGAATGGGCTGACTTTGTTATAACCTTTTGTTTTAAACATCAAGCCTGTATTGGAAATATCTTCCAGTGGAACCATTCCCATTCCAATTGCCACACCAGCAGTTAAGTGATCCAGTTCAGACTGTGGATGCCAGCCAGAGTCTTTTATTGCTAGCTCTGCAGCACCCAAGGCCATGATAGTGGCAGAAGACATGGATTTGCTTTCTGATTTTGACACAAAGTTTTCTTCACTGAACTGACCCTTGCCATTTCCTCTTGGCACACAAGCAGCCACTCTACATGGAACACTTGTATATTCTTCCCCATCCAGAGAGATAATCCCACTTTCTCCTTGGAGAAGGCGATTCCACACGAATTGAGTCCCAACGCCAAGAGGAGACACTAAACCAATACCTGTGACAACTACTCGCCTTTGACGTTTGGAAAGTGACTTGGTGCTGAAACCATTTTTGCTACTTCTTAAACACTGATGTAATTTGGGACTCCGGTGATGAAAATTTACAATTTTTAAGAAATCTGGTAAGCACTGTGAGATCATGGTGGAGACCAGGGTTACCTGAAATACGTTTCTGTAACAGGTAAAAAAGGTAACAATGAAATAGCTGATGTAAAAAGCATTTAAGGTACAGTAAAATTAGGACTTGCCTTTTAAATGCATGTGTTTTCTAAATTGCAGAGAATGGTGTTCCCTGTGCCCTATCGTGGCTATTTATTACAGTAAGTTAAGGACCTCATCATAACCTTTACGGGAGACAGCATGGTCTAGGGGATGGGGCACTAGACTGGGAGTTGGGAGACTTGGATTCTGTTTCCAGCTCTACCACAGATCTGACACCTTGGCAAGTCACTTCACCGCTCTATGCCTCTCTTTCCCCTCACACCTTTTGTCTGTCTTGTTTATTTAGATTGTTAGCTCTCTGGGACAGGGATCTCTTACAACATGTTCGTACAGCACCTATTACATTTGGGCCTCAATCTCAGATGGTATTGTAACACAAATAAATAAGAGCCGTCACTTGGGTATCCCTCACTTTGCACTTTTATAGAGATTTATACTTTCAATATGCTGTAAAAATATTAACTAATCCTTTGATTGCCCTTAATGTTAGTTTAACATTGTATTTGAATGAATATCCATTTATATTGTGCAAAAATTCCTTTGCTCTATCAAGCCATTTTTGATTTAACAACTTAATAAAATCAGATTTTTCACATTTGAGATAGTTTGATTAAACTTTAACCATAAATTTAGATCATGACATTCTATAAATTAGTCCCTAATTTAAATTGTTGCTAATTGGGGAAAAAAGTTATTTAGTCATATAGTATATATCAAAATACTGTTGAGCATATGAAGTAGTTAATTTACATTTATTAAAAATGTAGTACAGTTGCGATTTAGAAAGCCATGAAACATGGCCATTTGCTCTTTTTAAGCAATTATCTGAAGTGTCTCCAAAACACCATATGTCTCACAATCAAATGTATTTGCCTTCATCAAATGACATCTATGCCATTAGTTGTATTGGTATAGTGAAAATAAATGCACTGGAATATAATGCTGTGACAGGATTAATAGCTCTCACTTTGAAAATAACCATATCTAGCATCATAAAACATTGCATTATTATATTAATGTTATAGTGCACCGTCAGTTGAAGAATCTGGTATTGATCACTGTTAAAGAATTAGATACTAGACTATTGGTCTGATCTGGTTTGGCAATTTGTATTCCTGTTGTGTAGGTGCTCATGAGGGTATTATTTGGCTTGCAGGAACTTTATTACCCGTGATGATACTCAAAAAAGAAATAACCCAACTTGACTATTAAGTGTCCAAGTAGAGTTTGCAGGGCTTCCAATTAGAAAATAACCACTTTCTCTTCTAAATGGAGCAAATTTGGTTTGACATCCATGAGAAACAAATAAACTTGGAACCCCATGCCATTTTTTTACCAAATAATTTTTCCAAGGAGAACTGCACTTGGAGATAATATCACTGTAATAGAATGCTATTACGTACTCCTGCTGCTAGATAGAGTTCGACGGTTATTTTTGAACAGCGAGTATTAATCCTGTGACAGCATTTGGTTCTAGTGCCTTTATTTCTATTGTGCCAAATGTTTAATGGTGTGATGTTATTTTATATGCATAAAAACATGTGATTGTATAACACTAGATATTTTGGATGTTGGCCTTGTTGTTGTTTTTGCCAAGGACAAGTACTAGTAGAACTTTTCTCACTTTTTTCTTATAATGTTTCCCCTTCATACATATGGCCAAAGGCAAAAATGAAGAGCACTGAAAGGACAGGGAAACCTATTTTATATTTTGCATGTAGCTTCTTCAAGTTTGGTAAATATCTTTTCCAGTTGGAATGAGTGGAAGGAAAAACTGAAAGTACGGTAATTTTATTTCCTGTGACAACAGGCTGAAAAACACTATTGGTTTTAAATTCACAGCAGCAGCATGTTGTAACTTCAAGGCTGCTGCTTTCCTTTTTATATTCTGCTGTGGGTCAACAGTCAGCATATTTGTCAGCCAGACTTCAGTATGTGGCATAATACGCTGGGTTTCTCAAGCTTCATTTCATCGCAACCCCCTTCTGGTAACAAAAATTACATGACCCCAGAAAGGGGGACTGAGCTTGCCCAAGCCCTGCTGTTCCAGGTGGGGGGGCCAAGGCCAAAGAGGGAGCCCTACCACCCCAGCAGACGGGGAGAGGGCCTGTACCCTGAGCCCCGCTGCCCAGGGCTGAAGTTGTTGGGCTTCGGCTTTGGCCCTGGGCAGTTGGGCTCGGGCTTCAGCTTTGGCCCTGGATAGTTTGGCTCGGGCTTTGGCTCCAGACCCCAGCAAGCCTAAGTCAGCCCCAGTGACCCGACTGACCCACAGTTTGAGAACCACTGAATATATTGTCAGAATAAACCTTATAACAAGGTACGTTCTGAAAAAACAATGCTTAGTCACCACCTTTATTTAATGGCTATTAATGTTCTATAAAAAGAAATAAAGTAATGTTAAACTAACATTAAGGGCCATCACAGGATTAGTTAATATTTTTTACAGCCTACTGAAAGTATAAATCTCTATAAAAGTGCAAAGTGAGGGATACTCAAGTGAAGGCTCTTATTTATTTGTGTTACAATACCAACAAGTTTCTAGCCCTTCTGGCTGTCGAGAAAGCTTCAAAATGTGTGACCCCCAGTGCACCCTAAAGGCTCGTAAAGCAGAACACACACACAAAACAAACACCAAAGCTATTATTTTACTTAATCTCATGATTTTAAAGCCAATCTCGTGATTTTGGTGTGCCTGACTCATGTTTTTTTAACATTTGGGGTTGGCAATACTGCTAGAGTAGCTGAGATTATTACACAGAAGACTATTTTGTTATAGGGGGTAAACCTCAACGATTCACCAAAGGAGGAGTGGAGCCCTCCAAACTGAATAAAACTAGGGGATATTTTACCGTTTTGCTCCCTCCCCTGGCTTCACTGCCAGCCCCTAGGCACAGCATTGAAAATAGGGTTACCAGCCCTCCAGGATTGTCCTGGAGTCTCCAGGAATACAAGATTAATCTTTAATTAAAGTTTATGCCATGGGATGAATACATCCAACCAAAATTAGCACCCCTATTTGAAAACAACGGTGGATTTTCAAGCCTCACGCCTGTAAACACCTGGGGGCTAGGGAAGCGGTTACACAGCCTAGTGAGTGGAGGCCTCTCTCCACGCACTGTGGGGAGTGAGCCCAGCTCAAGCTCTAACGCTGCGCGATGCCTGGCGGGCAGAGGGGACTGGCGAGCACAGGAGACGCTGGGGCCGCGCCTCCCTCACCGGCAATGGCAGAGCTCTGCTGGGGGGCTCGGGCGGGGGGCGCCGCTCAGCCTCCCGGCTTGTTCCTGGGTGTGAGTACAACCCCCTCCCCGCGCCCCAGCCGCGCTCCAGCCGGGGGCAACCTCCCCGCCCCTAGTATCTAGGAGAGGGGGAAACAGCCCTGGCCCATTTCCAGGGGGGGCAAGCTCCTTCCCCCCGCACCCTTCCCGAACCTCCTTCTTTCATTCCATCCCACCCCGGAGACAGGCGCGGAAACAGGCCCATTCCTCGCATATCTGTATCTCACCTCCCCCTCTCCTCTGTGGTCAGCTCTGTCTCCCTCCCTTTCTCCAATGGCGGTGGGCTAAACCACGTGAGGAAAAAAGGGGGGTCTCAAACCTCGACAACTTGATAATCGACTGCCGATTCCTCGATTGGTCAGAAGCGCCGGCACCAATCTAGAAATCGGCGCTGGATTGGTAGGGCATGTGACCTGCTGCTTCCTTCGCTTTCGCCTATTTATCTGTGAGGTTGGGGCAGGGTAAGATGGGTGGTGTGTTTATCTCACAGACTCTGCTTGCGACACCGGTTAGAATCCCACCCATGACAATAAGCGGAGCCTTTCTTCAATTTGCTCTTAGGTGGTGGAAATATTCTCCCTACTTATCTTAGAGCACAGCGTGAGCAGAATCGAAGAGCTATTAGGATTATCTACAGAGACCAAAAAGAGGAGTCAGAACAAAAACAGCAAGGCAGAGCCCTAGAAGGAGGAGTCATAGAGATTTTAAAAAACCACACAGAATAAAGTTATATTGAAAAGGAAATTAATAAAAAAAGAGCCAAGCACTCTGGAAAAAGTCACATCCAGAAATAGAAAACATGCAAAAGAGAGCACCAAGAACTCAAAAATTCACTTTCCCTCACTTTATTTTTTTTCACATCATCTTATTTAGTATTACACACATAAAACTATATTAAAAAGAACATTAGGGTTACAAATTCTGAAGTTAGGAAATGCTAGAATTAATATTGCTTTTCACAAAAATAGTCTTTAATTACACAGTTACATAGGATCATAAAGTATATGCACAAGGGGACCAAATTAAGGTTGCACAGCATGTCCGTGCCCCCAGTCCCATTTTAACATGCCACTCCTGCATCAGCTCCTCATTCCAGTCCCAGATCCCTGAGTGTCACATCCCCGTCCTCTCTCTCCCACCCCCACCCTCTCCACTTCACCAACTCCCTTGGATTGGCAATTTATTCCTCCATATTCCAGTCAGGTAGCTAAGCTTCCTCCTCCTCCTCCTCTCTGCCTGGATGCCAGCAGGGAGGCATTAAAAGCACAGGAAAAACAGGATCCTCGCTCTCAGTTCCTGTGCCTGGCACTTCAGCAATCTCCAACTGTTGGGAGGACCAACTGAGAAAGTCCTGCTCAGCCTGACTGCATCCCTCTGGTGGAGTCTGCCCACAGCAGATAGAATCTTCAGAGACGTGAGCTGCCAAACTCCCCTGAGCGCGTGCAAACTGAGATTTTCAGAAGCTCATAACTTTACCAAATTTGGGCAGATTTTCATGGGGATGGCAAAAAGGCACATCCCTGACACCAGGGCAACTTGCCCCCACCAAATTTCATGTCCTTACTCCAAAGTATGGAGGCACTAGAGTTGCTCATCAAAATGGTCATAAGATTTTTTTTTTTAACAAATCTCACAGATTTGGGCAAAACATTTTTCCATAAAATTTTGTTCTGAGAAACAACAGAATTGTTTTTGCTGAAATTTTCCAAAAATAGTTCAGCCTGAGGCTGGCACCCCGGCATGGAAAATTTCAGCCCAAATGGTTACATTTGGCAAAGTTATAAGCAACTGAAAACAGGGTTTTATAATGGAAAGTGTCCAGGCAACGTTAAAATGATGGATGTTGCTATCTGCGTTGCCTATAATAAACTCACTGACTCACCCTGTGCTCTTGCCTCAGTTTACTCATCTATAAAATGGGGATCACTTTACCTCAAAGGGGTGCTAATGATTAATAAACCAAGCTGTGTTTATAAAACACTACGAGCTTCTTGGATAAAAGCACCTGTAAATGCATATTATCTGGTAGGAGGAAGTTTCTCAAGTGTGTAAATGAGCTGCTCTAGTTCAAAGACCCTGGTGATCTTTCGGAGAAGAATCTGAAGAAACTTGTGTGTACAATTATCCCTAGAGCAGGGGTAGCCAACCTGAGCCTGCGAAGGAGCCAGAATTTACCAATGTACATTGCCAAAGAGCCACAGTAATACGTCAGCAGCCCCCTATCAGCTCCCCCGCTGCTAGCGCCTTCCCTCCCCGCACCTCCTGATCAGCTGTTTTGTGGCGCGCAGGAGGCTGCGGGGGGTGGGGGGGAAGTGAGGGCACGGCAGGCTCAGGGGAGGGAGTGGGAAGGGGTGGAGTGGGGGCAGGGTCTGTGGCAGAGCCAGGGGTTGAGCAGTGAGCATCCCCTGGCACACTGGAAAGTTGGCGGCTGTAGCTCCAGCCCCGGAGTCGTACCTATACAAGGAGCCACATGTGGCTCCGGAGCCACAGGTTGGCGACCCCTGCCCTAGAGGTTCAATGCAAACAGACAAAAGTGAAATATGTATACATTGTTGGTACTTGCTTTTTGGCAAAAATTATTAAATGGGGTGCCATACTGATGGGAGGTCATCTAGTCCAACCCCCTGCTCAAAGCAGGACCAACCCCAACTAAATCATCCCAGCCAGGGCTTAGTCAGGGTACTTGCACATTATCCATTTTAGGGCTTTATAGGACCACAGAATTAGAAAAGGATAAGCAGCTTCAACATTACTTTAAAAGCAAAGCAATCAGACCACACCATGTAGAAACTGACCAAGACAAATTATTTTGTATTTTGTACACTACATACACCTAGGGCCTGATTTTCAGAGAGGCTACACACCGCAACCTCAAGGGAAACTGCCTATTCTTTTTGTGGATACAGACTAACACGGCTGCTACTCTGAAACCTGCCCAAGGTTAGTACATCTGAAAATCAGACCCATAAAATACATTTTTAGCTAAAGGGGTAAAAAAGGGCGAGACTCACCAGAATATATTTTTAAAGGACCCATTTTTAATTAAATGTTACTCAATCTAACAGATTTATTTGAAAATTCTCAGAAAATTCAAAATTTACTCAGCTGATGTGCGGTAAATTTGGGGAAAGAGGCACTATATTGTTCATAGACAACAAAGACGTTGAGTCCTAGAGTTAAGTGAAAAACTCAATGCAATTTAGCTATGAAGGCACTGACTGAGAGACTATAATCGCTGTTGAAACTGAAAGGGAAACTTGCCCGCCCGCTCCACGTTCAGCCGCTGGGTGGTTCAGCGGGTCCCGGATCTGGGAGCAAGCGAGCGGGCGCGCGCACGCTAGACGGCAGCGCCCGCTCACTGGGGAGGACACCCTCCCATCCCCCGCCCCCAGGAAAGTAGCACGATGGCGGCCGCGGGGGGTCCCTCCGCGCCACTGCACTCTCGAGCCGTGAGTGAGCTCTGCCAGAACGCCCGAGACACCTTTCTGGAGGCCTCACGGCTACTGCTCACCTACGCGGACAATATCCTCAGGTGAGCAGGGCGGACGGGCCCGCGAAGCTGCGGCGGAGGCGCCGAGCGGGGTCAGTCAGGGCACCGTCCCCGTGGCGGGTATAAATCTTCGGACTCACGGTCTGCGGGCTGGCGGGGGGTGCCGCGGGAGGGCACGACCTGAGCTCGGGCCGGGCACCCAGCGGGAAGAGCTGCTGACTCAGCAGGGGAGGCGGTGGCTTAGCCCAGCCTGTGCTGAGTCACTGACCGCCAGAACTCTGCCCTCCGCTGGGTCAGTTGCACCCGCTTTTCCCTTAGAGAGCAGAGCTCCCGCTGGGGGGCAGAGCTTCCCCCTTCGACCCCACGCCGTGTCGGCCCAAGCAGCGTGTCGCTGCTGTGTCCGCACGGGGCTGCCCTCTGGCTGCCACGTCCTGCTGGGCCTGGGCCTAGGCCTTGTGACCTGCCTCCTCGCCCCTGCCCTGGCACCCGCTTGGACGGGCCCACCTGGCAGCCCTTTACTCCCATCTCCTGGGGCTGGACAGGGTGAGGGCAGGAGATTGACGTTGAATGAGTCAGTGGCTTTTCCCACCGTGAGGGTGCAGGTCTTGTGCATTTCACACCTGTCCCCCAGGTGCACGTGCAGTCTGTGGGCGGTTTGGGTGTTTAAATGGTGCCTATCACTGTGGTATTCTAGCATCATGGTATTCATGTATTGCACAGTATTTTGCTATGTGGGACATGGTGGGGAGTGTACAGTAAATGGCCATTCATCCCAAATTAGTCAGTCATTGAGCAGGACCCTATTATGCTAGGTGCTGTACAAACACACACAAAAAGAGGACCCCTAGCCCAAAGAGTACGAATGTAAATGTAAGACAGATTGGGGAGGACAAGGAAACAATGGAGAGTATTAGGCCTGGTCTACACTAGGACTTTAATTCGGATTTAGCTGCCTTAATCCGAATTAACCCTTCACCCGTCCACACTACAGAGCCAGTTAATTCGAATTAAAGGGCCCTTTAAATCGATTTCTGTACTCCACCTCGACGAACGGAGTAGAGCCTAAATCGATTTTGTTAATTCGAATTAGGGTTAGTGTGGACGCACACCACCGAATTACTGTGTTTAAGTTAATGGGGTAGTGTGGCCGCACACCACCGAATTAATGTGGTTTAAAACCGAATTAAGGTGCTTAGTGTGGCCGCGCACAATCGAATTTATACAACCTGTTTCCCAAATTCGAATTATCTAAATTCGGATTAATCCTGTAGTGTAGACATACCCTTAGTATTATGAACAGTGATGTCAGCACAGCAGTGACCTAACCTTTGTCAAGTTTTTTGTAGGATGTAGATTTAGAAATGACCTTTCATGGGCTGCCTACACTCTGTATAGAAAAGCAAGTCTAAGTTTCTTAGCTTCTAAAAAATGTTAACACCCTGAAAAATCCAGTGAGAGGTGTCATTACCCACACTGTAAGTTTCCAAGTTTTTTAGCTGATGACATAATTGTTTTAATTTTTTAAATTCCTATCAGACACCCAAATGAAGAAAAATATAGGTCTATTCGGATTGGAAATCCAGCGTTTTCGACTAGGTTGTTACCTGTCAGAGGAGCAGTTGAATGTTTGTTTGAAATGGGATTTGAAGAGGTGAGTATTCTAGATGTTTGTTTTCCAGGTTTGTTTTATCCTGTTAGAACACTGCTGAAGTTACATCTACAGTATAATAGGTGATTTGTCCTCCTTCTGGTTCACGCTTAACATTACAATTGCAAAGCTATAGGGCCTTCTCTAGGGCTGCACCTTAACATGGTGGAAAGGCTTGTGTGTCCAGTGACCTTGAGAGCTATGCTGTAGTACAGGGGCTGGCAAACTTTTTGGCCTAAGGGCTGCATCAGGTTTCGTAAATTGTATGGAGGGCTGGTTAGAGGAGGGGGTTGTGGCTCGGCCCCCCACCTCCTATCTGCCCCTTCCCCCTCCTCTGGGACTCCTGCCCCATCCAACCCCCCCATTCCCTGACGACCCCCCTGGGACCCGTGTCCTCTGACCGCCCACGGACCCTCGCCGCCCCATCCAACCCCTCCTCTCATTCCTGATTGGCCCCCCCGGGACCCCTGCCCCCATTCAACCCCCTGTTCCCGCCCCGACCCCTATCCACACCCCTGCCCCTGACCACCACCCTGAACTCCCCTGCCCTCTATCCAACCCCCCCTGCTCCATGTCGCCTTACTGCACTGCCTGGAGCACTGGTGGCTGGCAGCGCTACAGCCGTGAAGCCTGGCTGGAGCCAGGCCACGCCACCGCCGCCACCATGCAGCACAGAGCACCGGCTCAGGCCGGGCTCTGCAGCTGTGCTGCCCCGGGAGCTCACAGCCCCATTGCCCAGAGCATTGTGCCTGTGGCGGAGTGAGCGAGCTGAGGCTGCAGGGGGGGGGGGGACAGCAGGGGAGGGGCTGGGGGCTGGCCTCCTGGGCCAGGAGTTCAGGGGCCGGGTAGAACAGTCCCGTGGGCTGTAGTTTGCCCACCTCTGCTGTAGTAGTTTAACTCCTGGTAGAGCCACTGCAACTGGACAGAAGTCAGAAGGTAGACATCAGCCAAAAAGTCCATTATTGGGATTAACCAGACTCCTTAGCCCTGGTAGGCAGCTGGTCTAAGGAGAAGGTATAGTCTGTATTCAAACTGAGGTGGTCCGACCTGCTAGCCAATCATGGCCCATGGACTTTAGTGGAACAGCCACGCTCTGCTTCAATTTGCAGTGGTGTTAGCAAGCTGTCTTTGGCACTGCTGCACAGCCCGGGCATTGGGCTGTGGTCACTTTGGCCTTCAGTGGGTTCTGCAAGCAATTTTCTCAATTTTGTTTCACTTGCACCTTGCAAAGACCTGTGTTGTTAATCCACGCGTTGCAGTCTTCTGCACCAGTGGACAAAATGGGCAACAAGGACTACAAAAGTGATTTTTTCCTCCCTTGGTATTCACCACTTCTTGTCAACTGTTGAGAATAGCCCACTTCCACCTTAATTAAATTGGCTCATTAGCATTGACCCCCGACTTGATAAGGCAACTCCCATCTTTTCATGTGCTGTGTATTTATACCTGCCTACTCTATTTTCCACTCCATGCATCTGATGAAGTGGGTTTTAGCCCACGAAAGCTTATGCCCAAATAAATTGGTTAGTCTCTAAGATGCCACAAGGACTCCTCATTGTTTTTAAGGACGAGAGTGTGACTAATCATGCACAACCTAGTACCACTTTAAACAATTCTTTGTGCAGGTCCATAGCCCTTATTCCTTGCTATCTCTTCACTCATTCTGTTCTTTGAATGTCCTGTGGTGACAGGAAAGTGTGGTGATGGGAACAGGGGGTCCCTAGTCACAAACATGCAGTCAGGCAGCGCCAGCATGATGGTTGTTTATTGTTGACTTGGAGCGATCTTGGAATCCATATCCTTCTCATGCGACAGATCAGCCCTCTTTAAAGATAATGCTGCTCTCCCTAATGCAGGGAAAGGGGAGAAATGGATCCCTAAATATCTCACTCCATTATCAATTTACTAGTATGCTATGACTAGCTGGTCATGCAGTATGTGCGTAAAAAGCAGCATCACGCACATAACACTGAACTTTGCAACCTAGAAATGTCTGCACTCTTTCTGATGATGTTGGTGGGCTTGGAAAGTACACTGCACTCCTTGGAAGAGAACTTGCCAAATGCAACATTGATATAGCTGCACCAAGTGAGACACATCTCCCAGGCAAGTCCCAACTTGAAGGGGTCTGTGCTGGATACACATTTACTGGATAGGCATGTCCGCAGAAGAGTGGAGACTATCGGGAGTGGGCTTTGCTATTTGGATGTCTATTGCACGCACACATCTGATTGTGTACCAAAAGGAATAAATGATTGCCTTATTGTCCTTCACCTCAGCTTGACATCTGCATGTCATGTAACAGTTAGTGCATATGTACCGATGATGATATGTTCTGACACTGTCAAAGAAAAAGTCTATGAAGACTTTGACAATGCCATAAACTCAGCTCATTGGTGCGACAAATTAATCATCCTAGGCAATTTTAACATCCGAGTTGGTTGCAATCACAAAGCTTTGCCTAAAATAAATTGGTTAATGAGGTGTGGGTACAAATGGCACGCTATTCCTCACAAAAGTGCATGGAGAATTAGCTAGTCACCACAAACATGATATTTCAACAAGCAGTGAAATGCAAAACAACATGGATGCATCTTCCATTGTATACCAAGGCAATCGTTGGGATGTCAAAATCACCTCTGCAATGCAGGGAGCTGCATGCAGTCTGATGTCAGCTCATGAGATGTAAAGTGACACTGATCCTCCAGTTGAAACAGCGCAGGTGTTGTCAATCTCCAATACCCACGCTCAGTGTGCATGTGTTAAAATCTGAGCTCATGTGTACAAAGCTTGTTTAAAAAACTTCATGAAGTTCTCATCACACTTTGAGTCAGACATAATAAATGCTGACTCTGTCTGGTCATCTTTTAAGGAAACCGTGTTCAATGCATCTAAAGAGGGGGCATCAGGAATGATTTGACAAAAATGATGCTGAGATAAAGCAACTCTTGAGATCCATGCATGTTCTTCACACATAGATAAATTATAAAAACTCATCTATTAAAAAAGATGGCTTATTCACATATAAAGTGTAATGTGCAAACTAAGCTTCGCCACATGAAAGATAGCTGGTGGAAAATGAAAGCCAACCACCTTCAATCAGTAACAGACAAAGACTCCAAACAGGTTTTTGATGAGCTGAAGACTGTATGACCTGCAATCTAATGGGCTACCCCCATCTGGAATATAAATGACTCACTGTCACTGACTGATCGTGGACAAATTCTGCAATGATGAGGCGAACTTTAATAAGGCTCTGAACTGCCCAGACACCACATTAGCATCAGCACTTGATGATCTTGAACAATTTGCAATTCTAGACCAACTCTCAATTCCACGAAATATATCTGAAGTATGGAAAGCTGTCAAACAGCAACGGATCAAGTACAGATGGTATTCCTGCAGAGATCTTCAAATGTGAGGGACATAGAATTGTAGGACTTGAAGGCAGCTGATCAGGAAGCTCACTGGCCTCTGCTTAAAGTTTTGGGAAGAGGAGGCTATTTCACAGGAGCTGAAAGAGGCCAACATTATCCACTTTTACAAAAGGAAAGCAGTCATGCTTCTTGCGATAACCATCGTGGCATCTCACTTCTTGCCACTGCAGGAAAGATACTCGCCTGAGTCATGCGAAACTAACTAACTGACCAACTTGCAGAGAAGATTGGCGTTTAGGCATACGTGGCTTCCGTCCTGGGCATGGTACTTCAGACATGATCTTTTCACTCCAGCAAATACAGGAGAAATGTTGTGAGTAGAATCAAGACCTATATGTAGTTTTTGTCAATCTTATTAAGACCTTTGACTCTGTAAATTGAGAAGGCTTGTGGACTCCACAAGTTCAGTTTTCCCCCTATACGTTTGTCAGCATTATTAAATCTTTTCATGCAGGAATTCAGGTTCGTGTCCTTGACCAATGCTGCTTCTCAGCTTCCTCTGTTGTCACCAAAAGAGTAAAACAAGGTTGTGTTCTTACCCTAATATTGTTTAGCATCATGTTTGCAGCTGTTCTAATAGATGCATTCAGAGACCTTGATTGTGGTATTTATATGAAGTACCATATGGATGGAGGTGTCTTAAGTCTGCATTGCCTGTGTGAGAAGACAAAAGTTATGAAGATTACTATTCATGAATTGCTATCACTGATGGTTGTGCTTTAGTGGCCCATAACCTCAGGGACATTCAGTTGCTCACTGATTGCTTTGTATGTGCAGCAAAATATTTTGACTTAACAATCAGCCTAAAGAAGACAGAAGTGACAGTCCAGGCTCCACTGGTAAATACTGCAACTGCTCTTGTTGCCTATTGACTATGTACCACTCAAGGTTGTTGATAAATTTTGCTACCTACACAGTGTTGTTTTTTGAAATACAATGATGACAATACCATTACGAAATGTATTGGTGCAGCCAGTGATGCCTTCAGAGAATTTTAGCGTTGTCTCTGGCATGAACACCGTGTCAGATGGCAAACCATAATTGATGTTTACCACTATGTATCATCACCACTACTCTCCTCTATGGCTGCAATATATGGACAACTTATCAATGCCACATAAAATGCTTGGACAAATTCCCTCTACGATTTCTACAGCAGATAACTGGAATTAAATGGCAAGATTTGATTCCAAACACCGAGGTCTTTGAGTGTTGCATGCAACATCAGACATTTAAGCTTTTATAGTGAGAGCACAACTGAGGTGCTGTGGTCATATGGTCCACATGTCTGACAGTAGAATACCAAAGGCTGTCTTTTACAGAGAATTGCAGACTGGAACGCATTTTAGAGGCAGACCAAGAAAATGTTACAAAAACACTGAAAGGGGCCAAACACCAATCTTGCAGAGTTGACCTCAACATCGGGGAGCTTTTAACGCATGATCTGAATTGCTGCAAGCAAGGAGAAATGTGCGAGGCATAAAGCTAAAAGCAGTGCATGTTAATCTACAATTGCCTTCACCTGGAGCTGCAGATCCAGAATTGGTTTATGGTCTTGTTGTGGGGCCTGAAACAAGTGATTAGCTCATCCGTTGAGCTTGACTGGAGACTCCATCAGATTCTACTTTCTGGCCACTTGCAGTTTAAGTAGCACTTTTCCTTTCATTTTGCATATCTTTACTTTGTCCATAAATATCTAGTGCCAAATAACATGAAAGTTAAGGAAAGCATCATCTTAAATCTGTAGAGTTAAGGTAAAAAAAACATCCTGAGTGAAATCTTGGCCCTATTGCAGTCAATGGAAGTTTTACCATTGATTTCAGTGGAGCCAGGATTTCATCCCTTGTGTGCTAATATGGCACTGTAGCAGAAATAGAAGTAGAAATAGCTTCTAGTTTTAATTTGTGTATGGAATATTTGAGGGAAAGCTAAACTGAAAAAACAAGTTTTGCTTTCAGAGCTGAATTTGGCTAGTTCCATTGTCATTCTTATCTCTTGTGGGGTTGAGTTCTCTAATCTATGTTCAGTGCTGGTGGGAGCTCTGTCTTTTGCACTTCTGAGCCTCCCTCTATTGGTCACATATTATAACTGCCCTGATGGAAAGTAGCTGTCACGGGAGAGCCTGATTGCAGAGGAAGAGTTAGTGTCTCAGGTTTCTAGGGCTAATCTCATGAAGAGGTCCAGGATAACACCTTGAATGACACAGTATTAAATGGAAAATCTGTGTAGATAACTGAACTCCACAGTGATTGTGTTTGGGAACCTGTGTTACTGGATAAACTGCTGCTGTATTTTGTATGAGTTAGAGCTTTGAGAGTATGCTGCTTCATCTCTATACAAGTTGTGGTAATCAAGGTTGGAGATCACAAACTTATTTTCAGTAGCCATCTGCAGGGTGTGTATGTTCCAGCTCTGTATGCTAGTCCATCTTTCTCAGGTGTTTGGAGAGGGGAAGAAATCCAAGTTACAGTTACCCCATCTCGCTTAGGCTGTTCTGGCTCAGCACTCTTCATGTTCGCACCATGGTCATTTCACTGCTTCTGGGTTTCGTTTCAGGCTTGGCAGTTTCCTTACCAGCCTTCCCATTGCACAGCTACTGCACAAGACCTTGTTTAGAGGAGAAACTGGACACTTCCCCTTACTTATGGAGTAATAAGATAAAAATAAAAACATGAGGCCCCTTTTCTCCTCCTCTCTTAATCCAACCTGAAGATAGGCAAATTCTTTTAGAAACATTGAGATCTTGTTCCAGTTTCCCTGGGTCTCTATGGATAAGGATGCCTCTTCTCTCTGCAGCAAGGCCAGCAGAGAAAGGGTTAAACTGCATTGTTCTATCTGCATGCACTAAATACAGAAAAATTAACTTTTCTATGTTTTTTACATTTCAGGGAGAAACTCATCTTGTTTTTCCTAAGGAAGCCTCAATTGAACAACTACACAAAATCCGAGATCTGATTGCTGGAGAGAGAAATAGCAGATTAAGTGAATCAAGTCAAACCCAAAGATCAGGATCTTCTCAAACTGTAACCAGCATGCAGCCTATTGTACCTCAGTCTTCAACAGCTGTTGACTCAACCCCAATCCCTGTCAATAGGCAACTACAAACATCAACTGCACAATCTGCTGCAATGGTAAGCACCTTTTAAAACCCTCTTATAATACCTATCCTGTAAAAGGGATTGTATTTATAAGACTTGGAGAAACTTTCATGAGGGCAGAAGTAGAAATAACTAGAATACTGGGGACAGCTGAAAATTTGATTCCCTTGATAACTTTCTTGGGAACATCTTTTCCCATTACCTTAATGAGGTTGTGGAAGTTCTTTGTCTACATCCAGCCTTACAGCTGAATGTGCTATGGGCCCAGCACAAACAAATGACACAACAGAAAAGGTCTTTGAGTGTGCAATTCACTGAATGTATGTTTTTTAGATGGAAAACTTTTCCAAAGTAACAATGGAATTTCCACAAATCAACAGTCCATCCAGCTCAATAACTTTTAGCTAAGAATGACCTATGCAGAATAGTTCAGAAGAAAACTCAAATTTAAAAAAAAATCCTGTTTGTGATAGGCAAGAGGTTCTCCGCTTTTTCATAGTGTGGACCCATCTTCTTATCTTATGGGTCACTTTCCCTAGTATTTGCATTCATAACATTCGTTTGTTAATAAATACATAATTGTGTACAGCAATTACATCAAGAAGTAAATATTAAGAAGGTATTATGTATTTTTAACTGGTTTGTATGTAATATACCAGCGGGAAATGAAGACAGCCAACATCGTGTGATTAGCCAGCTCTCTACTGACCACCAGTGAATTCCACAAGTTGGTTAACTATATATTGTGGAAGTGTACCCTGTAGGATATTTTTATGCTTTGCCCTGGGGTATTACATTGTCTAAGACTAACTCTTAAGAAGTTAACATTAGTGGAATCAGTATGGAGGACGCTTAGCTTTTCAGGTAATCTTGGTTTTTTTAACTTCAGTTCTTTAAAAATCCGTATCCCCATTCTTTAAATTTCAGTTACACTTCCTGAATTAACTCAAGTCTGTTTCTAAGGACTGTGTTTAGAATAGCTTCTCCGCTTGTATGCTTCAGAACAAGCTGTCCAAAGAAATTTTTTTCCAAACTGTGTTTAAGTGATGTTTCAACCATTGTACGATATTGGGTTGGCTGGATGTTGCTGTTACTGTTGTGGATTTTATTGCCTCTTTAAACTGTCTTAAACTTCATCATTGCTGCTCTGATCTAGAGACTGATAGTTAAGGTTAAGATTTTGTCACCGGTATTTTTAGTAGAAGTCACGGACAGGTCGGAGGCAATAAACAAAAATTCGCTAAAGCCTGTGACCGGTCCCTGACTTTTTTACTAAAAATACCAGAGGGACACAGGGACTAACCGGCTGAGTCCCGTCGGCTGCTGCTCCAGTCCTGGGGGCTGCGGTGGGGGCAGTAGTCACAGAGGTCCGTTAAAGTCACAGAATTCATGACCTCCGTAACAAAATCATATCCTTACCTGATAGTATACCCCCACTATTGTATTCATATTTTTAAGATCTTGCATATATAGCCATATACGGTTTTACTTCAGGATCTTTCTCAGGAAAACAACCTAACCATCCTTTCTTTGTATAGTTTTTGAAGCAAGGAATTTTAGTATCCCATTGATGGTTCTTATTCCACCATGTTTCAAAAGTGTCAGTTATGTAGAGGTCCTTTCCCCAATGCCAAACATTTTAGTTCATCCATTTTCGCTTTTAAGCTTCTCATTGGTAAATGAACAGACTCATGTTTGTAAATATGTGCTTATTTTAATATATCTAGTTTAGCTAAAATTACTCCTAGTTTCCCTCCTTCCCTTTTCTCTGTTGCAACTGTTTGTTGCTAACTGATTCCCATGCTACTGAACATGTAACTTGACTTCTGCTTATTAAAATTTTATTCTGTTTTCCCATCTTCTCTAATAAATTTCTTCCCACCACCCGTTTTAACTTCATTGCCAGCAGTTTGTTTAAGATGGAAACCTTCCCTAAAAGTTTTCCAGTGCCTGAAACCAAAGCCCCTTTCTTTTCTATCTCATTTTTTCTCATTCATACATTGAGACTAATTCCCCCCTGAAGGCTTTTCTGGGATGTGATTCAAATGTTGAATATAGCCCATTTCACTTTCACAACAATCTACTCTTGAGTGGTTTCCTTCAGACAAAGTGAATCCAATTTTTGCATGTGAGATTAAGAGGATGGACCATAATTGTCCGAATTGTCCTTACTCTCATTCTTGACATTCAAACGTTCAGGGAACTTCTGCTGATTTACAAACCTCTTCATGAGCTAATTAAAAGCAACCCAGAAAAGATCATTTAAGGTCCTGGTTTTCAGAAGTGCTGAGCACCCACAAATCCATCTGAAGTAAATGGAAGCTGCAGGTGAATATCAGATCTTTAAGCTTTATCCGTCAGTGTATGCGTAATGTCCATTCACATGGAAAGCAGTCAGTTTGACTATAGTTAGAAAAGGCACCAAGGATGCGCAAAACTCAGTTTTTCTGTAAAAAGGTCAATGATCGTTAATAGTATAGCTCATTTCAGATTATTTGATTTTATAAATGTTAATTAAACCTTATAATATGCCAGTACATAGAGTATTATACCTATTTACAAATAAAGAAACAGAAGCCCAGTGGGGGTTAAGTAACTTACTTAAGTTCACCCAATGGTAGAACCAAACCCAAGAAGTCCTGACTTTAGCTCTTCTGTTCTACCTTATTTACAAAAAGGACCTAGATAATTTAAGTACCAAATGGCTTAATTCTCAAAGAGATGTTCTTTGTATATTACCTCTATCTACTTACCTACCTTAGGGTTTTATACTGCCTCACGTTGGTGTAGGATCTGAGCATCTTCCAGGTAAAATCATTAGCAAAGTCTCTAGTAGATTCATGGGTTTTCTTTCTCTTCACCCTTTATACAGTCAGAATTCTGTTTTGGGTAGGCTTTTTTTGGTGGAAGTGATGGGACGGAAGGAGTTGGCGGGGGTGTTCAACTTGCAAGTGTCACTTATGGTGCAAAAGCTTCCTCTCTGAGAGAGCGTTCCTATAATGTTGGGATGGGATACAAACCCATACCTCCGGAGGAGGCTGCAACCTGAACGCAGCACCTTATATTACTCAGCTACCCTGATGACCTGTGGCACGGGCATTCAGCTACCTATTGTTGGATAGAGCAATGCTCAGCTGAAGTCAAGGCCTGCTCCCTCAGGAGATGGTCAGACACTAGATTGCCTGATCTCTGCAAGATTGTTTCATAGCCAGGTCCTCTCAGAGAATGCTTTGTCCCCAGCTCTCAGATGCTTCATCCTGATCTGGGACAATGTAGATCATAAAGAAGAGTGCAGCTGTTGCAATGTTTCATAGATGGACATTTGGTCTTTGATGTAGCTGCGGCTTGATCTGTTGATTGTTTTGAAAATTAGGATCAAGGCCTTTAAACTGGTATCAAAAGCTGACTGGGAGCCAGTGGAACGACGTGAGCACAGGCCTGGGTGTACTCAGTGTCTTAATCCATGGAGAAGGTGGGCAAATGCATTCTGTACCGCTGGAGTCTGTGCACAGCCTTCACGTTCAGATTCAGCTGCAGTGAATTACAGGAATCCTACGTGAAGGTGACAAATAGATGGATTACTGTGGCTAGGTGCTCATCAGGGAAGAAGGGACGATGTTTCCTAGCAAGCTGGGGGTGAAAGAAGGCATTTCTGGAAATTGTGATGTTACCTGATCATCCAGGCTTAACAAGGAGTCAAACAAGAGCCGAAGACTCATGTCCATGGCCATGAAGAAATCATCTTTTAGTGCCATAAGAGCAGTTTATGCTGTGCCTTGGTCTGAACCTGATTGTGAGGCATCCAGGATGTTGGCACTTGGTAGTTACTACTTTCTTAATTATTTTGCTCAGGAACAGGAGGTTGGGGACATGATGGTGGTTTGAGAGATCTTCAGGGTTTGAGTGTTGGCTTCTTGAGGATTGTGTGATCTATTGTATTTTTTCCAGGAGCTTGGTAGAGGTTTCTCTGAAGGAGGCTTGACTATTTCCATAAGGAGGGATATGGATTCATTTCACAGATTGTGGCTCTAATATTTCTTAGGAATTCTTGAGCTTTGTCTTGAGTGATGGAGCCAAAGTCAAGGGTGGTGGGGGTAGATAATATTCTCTGGTCAAAGTGGAATTTTTTCCCAGTTAGCTCCATACACATTTGATTGATTTTTGTCAGTGGAATACAGTGAGAGCTCTTCACAGTGGTCAGTTCTGGGTCTGATGTCTGGGCTATACCGTATGGGCTGATTAGACAGTTTGCTGCAAAATAGTTCAGCTGGTTGTGCTTCTGTTGCACTCATTGCAGAAAAGTGGATGGCTTGTTTTGCCTCCTTTACTGCAGTAGCACAGTCCTGTGACTGTTGTTTGTGCTGCTTCCGGACAGGTTCAGAATGATCTTTGTGCCACTCGCTTTCTAGCTTTCTGCTTCTGCACTTCACCTGCCATAGTTCTTGGTGATCTTTAGGGTCTGTGTGGGGGGAAAATGGATGGCTTGGAGCCAGGGTAGTGGACAAGTGATTGTTTTGGTGTACTCACTCATCAGCACCCTTGCCTTGTGTTTGGGTGGCTTGTTTTCCTAGGGTGAGTTGAAAACCTACAGACTTTAGGAATTTTCAGGGCTGGAATAGTTTTGGATGCTCACTCCCCTAGTGGGAAAGCAGGATGGCTCTGATCTCTGCCTAGATGAGGTGATGATCATACCAAAAGAGTGGTATGTTGATGTCTCCAGTACCAAATCCTAGGTTTAAGATAGGATCCAGCTTATTTCCAGTTGCATATATAGGTTCAGGGAATGCCTGTGAAAATCCGAGTGTTTCCACATAGGCCATGAGGTCAAGTGCTACTGTATTACTGAGGTGGTCTGTGAAGGTTGGTCACTGTAGACATGGAATCTGGGGATTCCAGAACTAGGGTGGGAAGCAGCAGCTCTGTACGTACCTGTAGGAAAGTTGACCGTGTTTCCATTTGGAAATCTGTACACCACCAGGAGTCCTAGATTCCTTTTGTCCTTCACCTCTCAGTGCATATGATTGCATTGAAAT